TTTCCAAAGAGTTCATCAGTTCATAGATTTTTTTTTTTAATTGAATGTTCCCTCAAGTATCCAATATTTTGCACCAGGCAAACTGCCATGTTCTTCTTTACTTGTTTTTATACTTGTAAAGTTACTCTGATATGGGGATTGTTTCTATTTACTGCATTAGATAGTCATTATATTTCCTCTATTTCTCTTAAGTAATAATATATACATCAAATAACAATAAATGCGTTTATCATCTGGAAAAGGAAGAGTAGGGAAGTTCATGTTACTAAGGTATAGTTTCTAGCAGCAAATCTAATTATATCTTATTCAGTAACAACACTTGTACTATGATGAGGATAAGAAATCTCTCTCTATATATGAATTTATTCATAACAAAAGCCTGACAGAATTATTTAAATAAAATCACACTTATTAATGAATTATGTTTAATAAAAATAGTATAATTTTATGTAATTTAGATTTTCCTGAAAAAACTGGACTAATTTTTAATGTTGAAGTGAATCTAATTTATCTCATTTTAACTCTACAAATTTCTCTTGACTGCTAACCCTGCACCTGGAACTGTGATAGGTGTTGTGAATGCAAATCTCAAGGGACTCTCTGCCTCCTGAGGATGAAAGAAAATTACACAGCTACATGACAATCTGATATTTACTATAATAGAGGAAAGCACAGGATGTCTTGGGATCTGTGGATAGAATATTCCTAATTGAGAAAAATATATTTATGAGAGTTCAAAAAGCAGAGAATGTGACATTAGAACTTAATCTTGAAGGACAAGTGAGAATTGCAGGGTCAAAAAGGGAAGGCAGTGATTTCAAGCCTATGAAAAATATATGCAAAGACATAGAAACACTGAAGAGTATTTATGTTTGGAGAATGGCAAATCACTAAGGGATGAGTTTAGACCTCTAGTGTTTATGGATGGGATAGGTCAGCATGATGTCCAGTTCTAGGAGGTTTCATGGAGGAAATTTGGTTTTAACTTGAACTTAAAAATGACTATGAGGAGGGAAAAAAAGTAAGACAAGAAGTTATTCTAGATGGAAGAAGTGTATAATTAGAGATGTTTCTCAAGACATTTGTTGCCCTGTCACATGTTGAAAATGTGTGTTCTCCTGTTGGTTGCAATTGCTGGCTCTCCCACTATCATCATCACAATTTGTTAATAAGACAAAGCTTGATTTATTGTTTACTACCTGAGGTGAATTTAGGCCATGTAGTGAAAGAAAAAGGCAAGGTCGTAATTTATTGGGAATTGTAATTTTGGTATAAGGCATCTTTTTCATAGTGGACATTTGATTAGAGTTTAAGAACCATTATACAAAAAATCTAGGATTGGTAGGAATAGTAAGGCAGGGACTTTGAGGTAAGAGACTCATGCCTGGCTGAAGTTCAAAGAATTCTAAAGCACAGACTCTTGATGCTTTCTATTAGAGTTGATGGGTCATTTGGGAACTTTCTGTAATGAACAATCAAAACATTTACCTGGACAAGATACTCTGAGGAAAGTAAGGTGGTGCTAATTTAGTGGACTAGCAAACACATGGGAATGTAGTTGACAAGTTCTAGCTGCTAATTTTAGTGTCCCAACTGACATGATTTTGGTTTTCATTTTACATCTCACACTGTGAAAATAGGTGAAGCTATTCATAGATAGTGTGGACCAGTGAGGGACCCTGGTGAGCCTAGGAATTGATCTAGCCAATCTGGGGGCAGGAGGGATATATTACATGGCACACCTATAAGCTTTTTGTAGCCCAAGTCAGCAGTCCCCAATCTTTTTGGGACAAGGGACCGGTTTCATGGAAGATATTTTTTTCCATGAAATGGGGGTGTGGTTTTAGAGGTTTTAGCTCTTTTTCAAATCTCCAGTGACATACATTTATTTATTTATTTAGCTCATTTTGGCTATAGTTAGGGTGTGGGCTTACCAAAACTGTAATTAAAACAGTGTGGAAAAGAGGTGTGGATGGAAATGGTAAATAAAATAACAAGTAAGTCATACACAGCAGAGTTGGATTCTGATGTAAGGCCTGCCACCAGATACAGCTTAATTGTCACTTGTCATTCACAGATAGGATTTTGATAGGATTCTGCAAGCAATTGACTTATGGTCTCTGTGCAGTTGAACCTATCTTCCAACATTAGTCTGTATTTGCAGGCACTCATCAGTGCTAGCATCACTGCCTCAGCTTCACCTCAGATCATCAGGCAGTGGATTCTCATGAAGAGTGAACAACCTAGATGCCTCACATGCCCAGTTCATAGAGGGGTTCATGCTCATCTGAGGATCTAATGTAGCTGCTGATCTAACAGGAAGTATACCTCAGGAGGTAATGCCAAGGATGGAGAGGGGTTCTAAATACTGAGGAAGCTTTGCTCACTTGTCCACAATTTTCCTCCTGCTGTGTGGCCCTATTCCTCACAGGCCACAGATGGGGTAGCAGCCCATGGCCCAGGGGTTGGGGCCTCTGGCCTAAGTGGTCAGCGGACTGGTTTAGTTTCTGTGTCTTAAAGAAAGAGATAAATACAAGAAGTTTTGTAGGAGCATTGTCCACAAAAACATAACATTTCCTAACCTGAACACCTATCAACAGGAAAATGGGTAAATTGTAGCATTTTCAAATAAAATTGGATATTGTATAATACTGAAGAGAAATGGTTACAACTACTAATATCAATATACGGCCCATAAGCATACTTTTGCGGGAAAAAAAGCAAGTTACCAAAGAATATATGCAGTATTCTAAACTTTATATACACACAATTCTTTTATATATTAGCTACCATAAGTCATGAAAAATGTAATGAGAGGCATATGAAAAACAAACTGGATAGTAGTTACCTTTAACTAGAAAGGCTTCATAGGGGACTTCAACTACAATAGGAATGCTATTTTAAAACTAGGTGATAATTTTACACATGCTGTTTATGTTTTATTTTTATCCCTTTTGTTCATTTGTCAGCTTGTTTGTCTTTTTGTTTCTTTAAGACAATGTCTTGGGCTGGGGATTTAGCTGAGTGGTTACGCCACCTGTCCCTTGAGACAAGGTCTCACTATGTAGTTTATGCTGGTCTTAAATTATACAACCCAAGCTGGCCACAAACTTGCAGAGATGCCCTTGCTTCAGCCTCCTGAGTGCTGGGATTACATGCATGAACCAACTTGCTGGGTTTATTTTTGTACTTTTTGTATACCTGAAATATTTTCTAGTGGCTTTTCAAGCATTTTAAAAAAGTTTTAAAAAGACACTAAGGCTTGGGTAGTTGAGTGACTTTGTTAAAGCTCAACAAAGGCAAGGATCTGTGTTTTCCCTTCGGGAGAAAAAAGCCATAAATATAAAAGCCTTAGTGGTGATCAAGTGTGTGCATATATATATATTTATTTGTGTGTGTGTATGTGTGTGTGTGTGTGCGCACATAGTTAAGAGGTGTGATCTGAATATATTATAAATGTTTAAATTTAAAAATTTTATCACAGTAAAAGACACATTGCCATTAATCTCCCTCCTTACTGCTGAGTGCCATCCAATGGAAAGGCAGGCTCATAAAAACATGACATTGTGTCCTCACTCACCTGATTCATCAGATCTGGCACTACGTGACCTCTGGCTCTTCCCCAAAGTCAACAGAATCATGAAAGGTAAAATTTTGAATTGATTCAGGATATTGAGGCAGTCACAACAGTGCAATGAAAAACACTCATGAAAGAAGACTTCCAGAACTGCTTCAGAAAGTGAAGAGGATCATGGAATGAGTGCTGTTCAAAGTGAAGGTATTTTGAGGGGAATTGACAGCAACATGTCTTCTACTTTAATACATTTAAAAAAAATTTATAGTCATTGTATTTTATGATCACACCTCATAACTTTATATTTCAACATGGCTGGACTAAGGAGTGCCCTGATAGCTGATAAAACATTATTTCTGGGTGTGCCTCTGCAGGTGTTTCTGGAAGAGATTAGCATTAGAATTGGTAGATTGAGGAAGGATGGTCCTTACCTATGCGGGTGGGCCTCATTCAGTCCACTGAGGGCCCAAATAGCTTTCTTTCTCTATCTTTTCCTTTCCTTCATTTCCATCCTTCCTTCCTTCCTTCCTTCCTTCCTTTCTTCCTTTCCCCTCTCTCCCTCCCTCCCTCCCTTCCTTCCTTCCTTTCATTTTTTCCTGGAGATTGAACCTGAAATTGGAACATGATAGAAAAGCACTCTACCACTAAGCTCTATCTGCAGACTTTTTTATTTTATTTTGAGACAGGATCTCACTAAATTGCTCACTCAGGATGACCTTGTACTTGTGATCCTTTTGCGTTAATCTCATAAGTTGCTAGTGTTACCGGGACACACTGCAACACCTGGGTTTTTCTTCCTTTCCTTGAGCTGAGACATCAATTTTTTTTTCTGCTCATAGATAGCAGAGCTTCTGTTTCTTGGAACTTTGAAGCCTGGGACTTCCATAAGCAGCCCACCTAGCTCTTAGGCCTTCTGATTTAGACTAAGAGTGACACCATTGGCTCCTTTTAGACTTGGAATGAATGATATCACTTGCTTTTCTGGGTCTCCAGCTGGTATAATTGGCAGTTCATGATACTTTTTGACCTCCATAATCATATGAGCCAACTCCTATAATCTCTTTTCTCTTTATCTCTCTTTCCCTTTCCCTCCTTTCTCTACCTATATATCTCTCATCTATCCATTTATTATCTATCTATCTATCTATCTATCTATCTATCTATCTATCTATCTATCTGTATCATCTTCTTTGCTTCTAGGCTTATCAGTTTATTTTTAATTACCAATGAAACACCTGGGGCTGGGTACCTAAAAAATAAGAGGTTCATTTAGCTCACCCTTTTGAAGCTGGAAAACCAAACAGTATGGCTCTGATGAGTACTCCTGGGCTGTATTACCTTGTATGGATGGCATCACAATGGCTGGAATGCCTGGGAGAGAGAGCAAGCATATGGTGAGTCATAGAGTCAGAGTTGGGGGGTGGATCCTGTGTCTTCCCACTAGGTCCCACTTCATAGTTTCCATCATCTCTATAACAGCACATTGAGGATCCATCAACAAATGGCCCCCATGGGCAGACAGACCATATCCAATAGATGCCTACAACCAAAGTTAAGTTCCAGTCAGTCATTAAAAGTGAGGTACAAAGTTTTACCCACAAGAAGATATACTCTATTCTGAAAGAATTTTAATTTCCAAGGTTGTACAAGTAGAAATCTGGGGAACATTTGTGGGAATGAATATTAGAAGTGTGAGATAGTGATAGAAGGAACATGAGGTTGGATCAGCCTAGGAAGCAGAGATTTTGCATTTTATATTGCAACTCAGGGAGTTACAAAGGACACTATTTGTTTTGTGGGCTATCATATATATCAAAAGATGTACCACTGAGAGTTAACTGAAAATGCCCAATTTCCCTGGTGTTAATGTAGATGACATTAAAAGGTTTATGAAGTCTGGAATGTTAGAGTGGATTTGTAATCTAAGACCTAATCATACACACTGGGATAGGTGCAGGAGATATACCTTTCCCCATTACTTGGAGAAAGAAATTCATGTGGGGAGCCCCAGCATTTTTGAAGAGCTACGTGTTTATTTTTATTTATAGCCCAGACCTTACAGTGGGAACCACAATCATGCTTTTGGAAAACCTAAATGCAGTAGAAATAATTGGATTCCAGAATGGCAGGGACAAGTAGTGGGACTCAACTGCCAAAGGCAAGGTGGGTAATAGACAGCAGGGACAAAGCAGCAATCAGATAGTCCACTTGCACAGACTTAAAGCTTTGGTCAGATGTTAATCATGGTGCTCCTAGAAGTGAAGTAGATAGAAAGCCTACTAGATTATTATTCATAAGCAGAAAACTCCCAAATTAAGCGAACAAAGATCTAACTCAAATAGTAAAAGCAGAGAATCATGGTCCCTGAATTTCTAGGCTCGATCCAGTTTACAAACACAGAGTCTTTCTTTGAAGGAGAGGCCAGGTCTCCTTGAGAAAGGACCCCTACTGAAAATTTATTCTATTAATTTTTCTTTAATCCTTCCCCAAAGGAATGAATGGCCCTTTACCAGTTTAACTATGCATTGTGTAAAAGTAAATAATAAATCATTTGGGGACCCCTGCACACTGATTCTGAACTGATATTGATTCTAGGAGACTCAAAACATCACTGAGGTCCTCCAGTCAGAGTAGAGGCTTGTAGAGATGATCAATGAACTTTTAGGTGAAATCTGTATCATACAGAGTCCAATGCATTCCTAAACCCATTCTGAGAAGTTTATTCTAGAAGTAGGATGAAATATAGTTAGCAGTTGACAAAATCTCTATACTCATTTCTTGAGGGCTGTTATGGTGGGAAAAGCCACATGGAAGCCATACCAATTTCTTCACCTTAGAAAAACAGTAAATCAAAAACAATACTGTATCTTAAGAGGGATTTCAAAGATCAGTGCTATCCCTAAAGACCTAAAAGATACAGGGGTGGCGACTCTCACTATCTTGACATCAACTCTATTTGTTCTGTGTAGAAGACAAATAGACCTTGGAGAATGACAGTGGATTATTACAAGATTTACAAGTGATAACTAAAATTATAGCTGCTGTACCAGATGTAATTTCATTACTTGAACAAATTAACATATTTCCTGGTACCTGGTATGCAGCTATTAATCTAGTAGATGGATTTTCCTCCATGCCTATTCTTTTTTTTGGTACCGGGGATCGAACTTGGGACCTTGCACTTGCGAGGCAGGTGCCCCATGCCTATTCTTAAGACCCACTAGAAGCAATTTATTTTTAGTTGGCAAAGCCTGCAATATACCTTCACTGCCCTGCCTCAGGAGAATATCACTGTCCTGCCAGAGCTGTTTTCTGGTCCTAAATTGTAAATTATTTTTCAGATATCTCTCCCCATCTTTAGTAAATGGAATCAAACATAGTGGCACTCTATCACTGAGGTACATCTGCAGGCCTTTTTATGTTTTATTTTGAGGTGAGTTCCTGCTAAGTTGCTTAGGATGGCCTTGAACTTCTGTCTCAGCCTCCAGAATAACTGCAAATATAGGTGTGTGCCACCACTCTTGGATAATTTTGCAGAAATCTTGATCTTCTTTTCCTTCCACAACCTTTCACACAGGTTCATTACATTGATGATATTATGCTTCATGGACACAATGATTGAGAGACTGCAACTAATCAGTATCACCTTATTAGTATGATATTTGTGTGTCAGAGGGTGGGAAATAAATTCAACCAGAAGTCAGGGGACTTCTCTATCTCTTTGAAATTTCTAGAGTCTAGTGGTATGAAGCATGACTAGCTATTCTTTCTAAGGTGAAAGAATTGTTGCATGTGATATTTTCTACAACCAAGAGACACAACACTTAAATGAGCTATTTGAATTTTAGAAAGAACATGGGTGTGTTATTCTGGTGACCCAAAGGTCTTCTAATTTTGAATGGAGCTCAGCACAAGAGAAAGCTCTTCAACAGTTCTGAATTGCAGTGCAAACAGCTCTGTTATCTGGGCCATGTCATCCAGCAGATGTGATGGTGTTTCAAGTGTCAGTGGCAGATGATGATGCAGTTTGAAGCCTTTGGAAGGTTTGAGTAAGTGAATTTTTAGGATTTTGTAGTAAGGTCCTGCCATCATTCACAGATTACTACCCTCCTTTTGAGTGGTAGCTGTTTGCCTGGTACTGAGCCTTACCTAATATCTGAATTGAATGTGTATGGACTATCAAATTACTGTATGATTTGAGCTGCTGTGCATCATGAACTGGATGTTATTGATTCAGCAAGCCATAAAGTTGGGCATATAGAATGGCACTTCATCTTCAAATGAAAGTGGTATATATGTTGTTGGGCCCAAGCAAGCCCTGGAGGCACAAGTAAGTTTTAGAAAGTAGTGGCCTAAATACCCATGACCCCACTCCTCCTATACTTACCAGTACAGCTGTGGCCTCATAGGGAATTTCTTACATTCAATGGGACAGTGAAAGAAACAACTTGGGCCTTGTTTTCAGATGTGCCTCCTTACTATGCAGGCTCCAGTGCTATAGCTCCTCACTGGGATGTCCCCAAAGAACAGTGGCAATGGAAAATTTTTCCAATGGGCAGAATTTTGGGTAGTTCACCTAGTTGTGCACTTTGCTTGGAAGGATAAATGGCCATATATGTGATTAATATTTGTTGATTTACAAGCTGTGGCCCATGGTTTATTTGGATGGTCAGAGATTTGGCAGAATCATAACTAGAACACCCACAAAGAAACTTGGGAAAAAAGTGTGTGCCTAGTCTTCTCTTTATAGGCAAACAATATGAAGATATTTGTGCTCTGTGTGAATCCTCACAAATCAACGACTCAGTTGAAGAGGATTTAAATGATCAAGTGGATAAGATGACCCATTCTGTAGAAACCAGTCAGCCTATTTTCCCAGTTGTTCCTGTTCATTACCCACTGACTTATGAACAAAGATATCATGATGGCAAGAATGGAGGTTGTACATGGGTTCTATACCATGAACTTCCATTTGCCAAGGCCAACCTGGTTATGGCCACCACTGTGTTTCTGTCAGGAGCAGAGACCTACACTGATCTTCTATTGTGACATCATTACCAGGGGTAATCAGTAGGGTACCTCGTTACTAGAAACCCCTGGAATAGGCTCCAGACTCCTTCTCAGTGTACAACATAAGGCTGAAGAAAAAAAAACCCAACTAAAAGATGCAGAGAAAATGGGGAGCCAGGACAGCCAATGCTGCTTAATTAGTAAAGGCATTGGTCAGTCCAAGCCACTCATATTTATTAGTAATCAAATTGGGGTAAAGGTGAGCTATGTGCAAGGATGGGACTACCCATGAAGATGTGCAGTCATGTGGTTTCTATGGAAACTAATGCAAGTAAGTCTTGTAAAGGACAAGACAAAGCATTCTCAAATTAGGGACCGTTTAGACAAACTACATGGTTGTAATTAGAACATTATCCTTCTAGTTAAGAAGGTTCTAATTGTGGAAACAGAATTTAGATGCAAATTACTCTGCTACTATGTTATCTTATATTGAGCCTCTTAGCTTCATAGGCCATTTTTATGGTTGTTAGCGGGAAGGTCATGCTAACCTGCATGGTACAACAGTGCTCATGAGGAGCTTCCCTGAGTCACCTAGCTTCAGTCAGACTCACTTCTTAAAATGAACCAAATGAGGGATTTAACTCTTTATAGCCTGCATTGCTTACAGCATGCTTTGGGCCTAATCAATATTGCAGTCCCCTACACTAGGTGACAAATTGGTTGCCTTAAACTGCTTTCATTGTAGAAAAGTCTGTGTGTTTTTTTTTCTTACTAGAATAGATAGTTTCTCTGGACATAGATTTGCCTTTCCTGCACACAATTCTTCTATCAAGACTACTATCTATGAACTTGCACAATGTCATATCCACCATTATAATGTTCCATCTTGCATTATTTCTGACCAAAGAATTCAGTTTACAGCCAAAGAAGTAGGGCAACTGGCCTATGCTCAGGCAATTCACTGATCTTACCATATTCCTCACTGTTTTGAAGCAACTGGATTGGTAGAAAAATGGAATGGCTTTTTGGAGACTCAGTTATAACATTAAATAGGTGGCAATACATTGTAGAGATCAAGGAAAATTCTCAAGAAGGCTGGATACGCTCTCAGTCAGCATTCAATATAAGTTAGTGTTTCTCTGGTAGCCAGGATTTGTAGATTCAAGAATCAAGGGGATGGAAATGGTATTGGTACCATTCACTATTACCCAGAGTGTCCCAGGAGTGAAATTTTTATTTCCTATTCCTGTGGCTTTGTTGGCTAGAGGATTAATTCCAAAAGAAATAATACTTTCACACAGCAATGATTATCCTGAGCTAGAAGTTAAGACTGCCACACAGCTATCACTCTGAGTGAACAGGTCAAGATGGGGGTTATAGTGGGGGTTGGCTGAGGTGATTGATCCAGGCTACCCAGGGGAAATGACTACAATTGCATGAGAGAGGTAAGGAATGATTTATCTGAAATACAGGCGATCCCTTCAGGGAGCATGCTCTGTGATTTTTTTTTTTTTTTTGTAAAGTGGATTTTTTTTCTTGTAATAAGTAAACCATCTACACAGACAACCACAAGACACTCACTTAAAAATACTTATATGACACACAACAGTAAGCTGAGAAATACTGATAGTAACTCACAGACAGGCAGTAATAAAAACTCAAAATTCCCTATCCTTTCTCAAGTGTGCTGTGGCATACTCAAACAGAAAATAGCTCTGGCAGGATAGTGATATTCTCCTGAGTCAGAACAGTGAAGGTATATTGCTGGCTTTGCCAGCTAAAAGTAAATTGCTTCTAGTGGGTCTTAAGAAAAGGCATGGAGGAAAAGCCATCTACTAAATTAATAGCTGCATACCAGGTACCAGGAAATATGTTAATTTGCTCAAGTAATGAAATTACATCTGGTACAGCAGCTATAATTTTAGTTATCACTTGTAAATCTTATAATAATCCACTGTCATTCTCCAAGGTCTATTTGTCTTCTACACAGAACAAATAGAGTTGATGTCAAGATAGTGAGAGTCGCCACCCCTGTATCTTTTAGGTCTTTAATGATAGTACTGATCTTTGAAATCCCTCTTAAGATACAGTATTGTTTTTGATTTACTGTTTTTCTAAGGTGAAGAAATTGGTATGGCTTCCTTGTTTCAATCCTGGGTGAGGACTATGCCCCAGTTTTCACCACAGGGCTAAGCATATTAGGATTTTTTGTGTGCCTTAGGAAGTATCTCAATTTTATATCATGGTATTGTATGGTGACATCATCTCCTGTTACAGTCTGTGAAAATTATTATTCCTTATTTACTGATTGCATTTGGAAAATAACGTTATAATAAAAGTTCCTGAAAATCTGGGGAGGTGTATGTCATGCATACTAAGAGTGCACCCTTCTCTTGGGACCACAAGTCATAATTTTAGAATAATTTAAGAAATATTAGGCAAACAGTGGATTGCAACCTTTACTATTGCCTTCTAAGCTTTGACTTATTGTCCCAGTGATCTCTTAGCAAGGTGAAGTCAAGCAATTTAAGAAGAAAAAGCTACCTTTTATTGTTATAATGCTATAATGTGTTTGTGACTATAGTTCATGTTTATATTAGTCTCGTCATGAAAAGTAATCTTTCTGCTTGTTTGTAGATACAGAATCATAAAATGAATGAAGCACCTGATGGTCAAGGAAGAGAAAAGAAGATGAAAGGATGAATGCGTATTTGTTTCATAATCACTAACAGGTGTTAATAAAACGTATTGTACAATGCTCAATTGTCATGACATTGAAAGGGATCAGGTTCACCTGTTCATTGTGATATATTATGTAGTTTCACTTCTTAAAATGCAACAGCTCTGTTGAATTGTTCTTATCATTAACACTTGAAGTAATAAAATAGGCTTTATTAATGTTTCATTTGATTTATTTTTATTATAGTTCCATTTGTGAAGATTGTGACTTCTGTTTATCAGCTATCATTTCTACACTTCCAAGGGTTAAAAACAAGCAAACAAATAAAAAATTGCAAATAGCATTTGTCCCTTCAGTCTTCATTAGTTGTGTAATTGTTTTAATTCACATTGCCTTTGCAGAAATTTGGGTATTTTCTTTGTGTGCTATTGAGTCTCATCTGGAAAGATTATGTAAATTAAATTCTCTTTGATTACTGCAGAATAGGAGAAAAGGGAAGACAAACTGTCTATGTACATTTCCAATATGCTTTCTGTTTCTATGATTGGTTCTGAAATGAATATGCCCTACTCTGTTGGAAGAATGGCCTTTTGGTTGTATACCCAAAGACATTTACTATTTTCTGATTCTTTCAGATGTTGTACCATTTTGTAAAAAGAATATTTTTAATTATATAAGAAATATTTTGACAAATGACCTTCTGAAGCAGGCACAACTAAGAATGATAATGTCAGAACTAAAGTGACATTTTTCTGTTTTCATTCTCTTTTTTTCAAATTAATTTTATTGGTACATTTTAGGTATACAATATAATGACATTCATCATTAGAAATTTGTACCTTTACATAATCTACCTTGGTTCTTATTTTGTTTTCCCCCTTCCCCTGCCCTCCCTTCAACCCCTCCTCCTCTCGCTATTTGCAAGACTTTGTTACCATTTTTTCATTTTCTCATATTATTTCCATTCTCTTTCCTTTCCCCTACCCCTCCCACTTCCCCTTTGGCCCTTTTCTTCCTATTTCACAGTATCTATTATACCTTTTAGTCCTTATTTATACTTTCAGTTTCTCACACCAGAGAAACTATTTGGTATTTACATGTGTGTCCTATTTATTTCACTTAAGAGCATCACCTCAATGTGCATCCATTTAGCTATAAATGTCTCTAATTTCTCATTCTTTATGGCTGAGTAGTATTCCTTTTTATAAATAAAAAACAGCACATTTTCTTTATTCACTCTCCAGTTGACGGGCAATTGGGCTGTTTCCAAGTTTTAGCTATTATAAACTGTGCTGTTATGAACATAGGTGCACATATATCACTGTGGTATGATTCTTTTAATTTTTGGAGGAACATACCCAGCAGGGGAATAGCTGGGTCAAATGGGACTTCCAATCCTAGTTCTTTGAGGTATCTCCATACTGATTTCTGCAGTGGTTGCACCAATCTACACTCCCATCAGCAGTGGAGCAGTGTTCCTCTTTCCACACAACCCTGCCAGCATTTGATGTTGGTTGATTTCATGAAAACAACCATTCTTTCTGGGGTGAGGTGGAATCTCAGCCTTGTTTTCATTTGCCTCTCTGGAATAACCAGTGATGTTGAACATTTTCTCATATGTTTATTTCCTATTTCTACTTTTTTGTCTGAGAAATGTCTATTCATTTCAGATGCTCATTTTTGGATTGGGTCTTTAAATTTGGGAGGTCTGATTTTTTTAAGTTCTTTGTAGATTCTAGACACTAGACCTTTGTCTGAGGAGCAGCTGGTGAAATTTTTTTTCCCACATTTTGGGTTGTCTCTTCACTCCGTTAGTGGTTTCTCTTGCTGTGCAGAAGCTTTTTAAGAAGAGATCCCACTTGTTGATTGTGATAGTTCAGTGCAACTGAGGTTTTGTTCATAAAATATTTTCCTACAGCAATGTTTTCAGGAGTTCTACCTAAGCTCTCTTCCAGCCAGTTTAGCGTTTCTGTTTTAATATTTAGATCTTTAATACATTTAGATTTTAGTTTAGTGCATGTGAGAGATATGGGTCCAGTTTTAATCTTTGGCAAGTTGAAACCCAATTTTTCCAGCACCATTTATCAAAGAGGTTATCTTTCCTCCCTCCAGTGGAGGTATTTGGCTCCTTTGTTGAAGATGAGGTGGCTGAGTGTGTCTGGAGTGTGTCTAATCTGTTCCACTGGTCCTCAGGTCTATTTCTTTGCCAGTACCATGCTGTTTTTATCACAGTAGCTTTGTAGTATAGTTTTAAATTAGGGATTGTGATACCCCCTACCTTGTCTTTATTGCCTAGGAATTGCTTTTGCTATTCTAGGTCTCTTCTGGCTCCAAATGAATTTTTGGAATGTTTTCTCAAGGTCCATGAAGTTTGCTGTTAGAATTTCAATTGGGATTGCAATGAATCTATATAGCAGTTTTGGAAGTCTGGCCAATTCACTATGTTGGTTTTTCCTACCCAGGAGAAAGGGATGTCTTTCCATTTTCTGATATCATCTTTGATCTCTTTTTTCAGAGTGCTATAGTTTTCAGAGTAGAGATCTTTGATTTCTTTCATTAGGTTGATTCCAGGTATTTCAATTTTTTGGATGCTATTGTGAAAGGAATTGTTTGTCCCAGTTCTGTGAGTCTGTTGTTCATGTAGAGGAAAGCTATTGATTTTTGTGTATTGACCTCGTATCCAGCTACTTTCCTGAATTTGGTTATTAAGTCTAGAAGACTTTTGGTGGAGTTCTTGGGGTCTTCTATATAGAGTATCATGCTGTCGGCAAATAGTGACAATTTACCTTCTCTGTTTCCTATCATCATTCCTTTTATTTATTTCTCTTGTCTAATTCCTATGGCTTATGTTTCCAAAATTATATTGAACAGAAGTGATGATAGTGGACATCCTTGTCTTGTTCCTGATTTTAGTGTGAAGGATTTCAGTTTTTAATCATTTAGTATGATATTGTCTGTTGGTGTTTCCATAGATGGCTTTTATCAGATTGAGGTAGAGACTGTCTATTCCATTTTTTTGTAAGGTTTTATCTTGAATGTGTGTTGGATTTTGTCAAATGCTTTTTCTGCATCTATTGAGATGATCATATGGGTTTTGTCCTTGGCTCTATTGATATAGCATATTACAATTTTTGATTTGCGTATGTTGAACCATCTCTGCATCCAATTTGAATGTTAAGTGGTTTAAGCATCCTTCACTATTCTCACAACTTGGCAAGAGCTAAAATCTGAACCAGCAGTTCTTTGGAACTACTGATCGACATTGCCCTGATCAAGGCGGCATCCCTTTCCCTCCAGGCAGGGCCGCAGCCATTGGCCAGGTGCCTGGAGGGAGCCAGGTCTTGCTGGCAGCCTGAGCTGCCCCACAGCGGGAGGAGGAGACAAAACAGGCGCGCTGCCCTGCTGACCCCCACCTGCTTGCATTAGGTGAACACAGTCAGGGGCAGGGAGCAATGATGGCAGCCCCAGCCCCGCCCGGCCCCGCCCTCTCCCTCCCTCCACCTGCCCCCATTCTCTGTGATTAAGGTCAATGGAAAACAAGGACAATCCAATCCGGACAGAACTAAGAATTGCTCAGACCCTTCAGGAATGAAGGTTTGGGTTACCACACATGGTAAAGAATGAAAACCAGCTGAGGTGATTGCTGAAGGATAAGGATATACCAAATGGGTAGTAAAAAAAAAAAGTAGCTATAAATATTAGCTGCAACCATGTGGCAAATTATAGAAAGGAGAACCATTAATTATTGTATTTCCTCTCTTTTGTTGAAAATACATGTGTATATATATATTGCATATGTATATATTTATATGCATGCAATGTATTTATATATTTATATGCATATTTATATATATATTTGTTTTCTTTTTTTATTCCTTTATCATGTAACATGAGGTGTATTCATTTTTTTTTTTTTTTTTTGGGAAACAGGGTCTTGCTATATAGCCCAGTATCCCAAGAGAAGTATAGAATTTGCATCACTATTTATGAGTCTTGAAACTTTGCATCACAGTGTTTAAGAATAATAAGCATCATTCAAAGACTTATTTTTCTGGCCCAAAGTAGTGTATCTGGTTGTTTGCAGGATAGTGATATCACGTTAAGTAGAATTATTATTTTGCTATTGTTTTTACTTTGAGATTACAGTTTAAGGAGGCATGTAACAATGCCAAATTGAGAATGAGTGTATTTATGGTGTTTAATTTTATGTTACCTTCACTGAAGAGTGACCAGAAAGCTAGTGAAACATTATTCCTGCATGTGCCTGTGAGGGTGGTACTAGAATTGATAATCTGAGTAAATATCTGCCCTCACCAATATAGGTTAGCGTTACTCAACGTTCTGAGGACAAAAAGGCAGAGGAAAGGTCTTTTTGAACCAGGATGCCCTTCTCTCTTCTGGAGGAGGAAGAGGAGGAGGAGGAGGAGGGACATGTGTCTTTTCCTGCCTGTGGATATTGGCACTCTTACTACTTGACTCTGGGACTTCAGAGTTAGTCATGTTCTAGGACTTATGCTATCAGTTTCCCTGATTCTTACTTAGGTCATTTGACTTGAACTGCAGTAAACCGTCAGTTTTCTTGGGTCTTCAGCTGGCCGACATAAGGTTGAGAGACTTCTTGTTTCCGTAATTGTGTGAGCCAATCCCAATAATAATGAGAATATGTGATACACAATATCTTCTTTTGATTCTGTTTCTTTGGGGGGTCCTGACCAATGCAGTGTGCATGTGAGTGTGTGTGTGTGTTCACATATAAGTGTTTTTGGAGCCCACAGGGAGGGAGCACATCTGTAGTGATTCACTCAACACTATTTCTAGGCTCTCAGAACAGAATTTTTGTACACATCAACTGTGTGCTACAAAGGTTGGTAGTTGATATTACTCTTACTCCCAAAGTTTGCCATGAAATATCTTGCTTTTTTATTATTTTCACATCAGTCTAGTGTAATGGTAGTCTTTGGAAACAAAAGATATCATTCTATAGATAGAATTCTGTTTTTAGTAGTGGTGTTTCTATTTACAAAACACAGTAATTCTCAAAAGCTGAAAATTAAACAAATGCTGGTAGCAGCGAGTTGTACTTTTTTTCCCTAAACAAGTAAGCAGCTGAGCTCGGTAAACAACTGAGCTCAGTGGCACACACATATTACAAGGCTGAGGTAGGAGGATTGGAAGTTTAGGGTCAGCATAGGTACTGTCTCA